GGGAAGGGAAGGGAAGGGAAGGGAAGGGAAGGGAAGGGAAGGGAAGGGCTAGACACACACACCATATCTTTCACAAAAATTAACTCAAAATGGTTTTAGACCTATATGTAAAATCTAAAACTTATAAAAGAAAACATAAGAGAAATAAATGTGACCTTGGTTTGATGATGAGTTTTAGATATAATTAGAAAAGCATAATCCATGAAATAAAAATTGGTAAATTGGACTTTATCAAAATTAAATACTTCTATTCTGAGAAGGCCACTGTTTAGAGATGAAGAGACACACCACAGAAAGGGAGAAAATATGTGTTAAACACATATCTGATAAAGGACTTGCAGCCAAAATATACTGTCCCCCAATAAAGGAAGCTTGGCTCCTGGGAGAAGTGCCTGATTCTAGGTCTGGAGCAGGAAATATACAAGATGACAATGGAGGAACTTGAAGTACCAAAAATAAGGGAGTGCTCAAAAATATATATAAATATATAGAGAGAGAATTAAAAAAATTATGGGGGCATGTGAAAGGAATAGAGTAGCCAACAGAAAGAACTCCCGATGGCCAAAGCTGAGACAATTCGAGCAACAGAAATAAAGTAGTATTGGATTTTAACGCAATGTCTAAAAGATACACATCCATGAGTCCATCCTGATATAAATAAATGATTGCATTAATAAGTGGGAGAGAAGAGAAGAGCCTTCCAAACAGTTCATGTAGATATTCCACCCTGACAGCGGCAGAACCTGACGAATACTAACCTCACTCAGGTTACCCAGGTAACATGCACAGTGGATAGGCCATGTGATAGTGTGTGCCCCTGACATCATGTGATGAAAGTCACATTTGAGTTCCCCAAACCCATAACCTCAAGCTAATCATGAGAAAAATGTTGGAGAAATCCCACATGAGGGACATCTTATAAAAAAAAAAAGAAAAAGAAACAGAAAAAAAGAAAAAAGCCTTACCAGTACCTCTCAAAACTGTCAAGGTCATCAGAGAGAAGCAAAATCTAATAAGACCTTCACCCTCAGATAACGCATTTTATCCCTTTTATGAGTATTGTAAATTTTAATTCTTTTTTTTCCCCATTCCAGGCCATAAACATTAGTACAGTAAACGTGGAGGTCAAGGCCAAGGACACTGGAGTCCTATCTGAATTCAGTTCCTGACCGTACCTACTAGCTTCACTTCCAGCCTTCCAAGGAACAAACTGACCAGGAGTCTGGGCTTCCCAGGCCAGTTCCCGCAGCTGTGCAGACACTCGGAGCCCACTGCTCAGTGTTATTGTGAGAAACGGCACTGGACGCACAAAGTCGTCTCACACATCTGTCACTGGATGCAGATGGACAATTTATACAAACAGTAATCACTCTGAACTGTACTGACAGGCACTATAATTCCATCTTTTTATCTCTGGTATATACCTAGAAAAATCTTCAATGTGATTAGAAGAAAAAAGTAGTTTCCACTTACAGTGCCTCTACCCCACTGGTGATATTTCAGTGGATCTGTGTATATTCAAACTAATTAAGGCTCCCGTTTTCTTATCTAATGCCCCATCACTGCCAACCAAGGTACTACATGGGCCACAAAACAGTCACTACATCTTTTGAATATTTAAATGTGTGTCTTTCATCAGATTGAAAGACACACATTTATATATTCGAGAAGTTCACAATTCTTTCCCAACACCAAGGACAGTGTTAGATCATGTGTCCTGGGGTGTACGGAGTCACCCTGAGGCGTCTGCTATGGGATCTCGGACAGGTCACTGTATGCTCTGAAGATTCATTTTTAAGTGGACATCCCTGGGAATGGTGTGAAGCAGCCGTACTAGTGTCGCTCTAAGTGATGCTCTGGCGAGAGGAAGGCGCGATGCAGAGACATGGCCACACACCAATCCCGTCATATCGCAGAGTGCTCACTGGACGCTATGAATGAGGCTCAGCACAGAGCGGAACAGCGGGACTGAGAAGAACAAGCGCCCGTTAGGTGAGATTTATGATAATCAGGTGGAATTTTTTTTTTACTTGAAAAGTTTATTCAAATTGATGGAATTAGAGTACAGTGCTGCTCTGAATTAGGATATGGAAGAGCAGAAAGACAATACAACTGAGTAGGATGGATGTGACTGCAATGGTTCCTTCTGTTTATACTTTTCAGCAGAGAGACTATGGTTTCTGCTTTTGAAACTCAAATATAAAAATAACTTAAAAAGGTTTTTGTAGGGAATGGCTGTTTTTGAGGGAACAGTGCTTTCAATGTCTGACTATAATAAGTATTGATTACTCAGAAACAATTATTTAGTTTATAAATTAATAACAGGTTTTGAGATGTGATGAAAAAACGTATGCTTTGGGTTCCAACATGCTCGAACCTAATTCTGTCACTTTGCTGCTTAGCCTTGGTTTTCCCATCCGTAAAGTGGGGTTAGTAACATCGAGCCCTTGCAGGATGGCTGTGAGGTCACGCACGGGATATATGAAGCTCCTAACCTGGAACAGGCTCCAGTGAGCGGTGATTAAGACGAAGACTTCCACTTGGGCTCTGTCCTGACACCCTCCTCTTGCTGCTTATTGAGGATGAGGGGAGAGCAGCGAGAGGGTACAGCTCACCCCAGTCCTCGCTCCGTACCCGTAGCCAACAGCACATTGATATACATCTTACACACTTAGCAACAGTAGTTCAGTCCAGCAGAGCGAGAGGTAACACGTACCCCATCCTTTGGCTTTTACTCCTAAATTTTACGAGAAGACAAAGAATAGGGAAAAGCAATACATTTGGCGGCCGCAGCCCCGAATGCTCCAGGTAGCACCAGCATTATGAACTGGGGACCTTGGGAAACCCAGGTGAGTCCTGGGCGGCAGGAAGGGGAGGCCCACAGCTGACCAGAGCGGGTGTCTGCAGGATCTAGCCTCAGGGTCTTGGCCTGACATCGCTGGTGTGCCAATGAGAAAAACCTTCCCAGGGTTCTATCTGAAGTCCACGCCTGATGCAATAATGACCTGAGGGGTCATTTATTTTCCCTGCAGAATCCCTAACGCATTTGACAACTTTTCTTGCTCCCTGTGAGTGTTTTTCTGAGAGTAAAGCTTAATCATTCTGAGACTTTTTTCCCTGCCAGAGGCTGACAGGTGAATGAGGGGTAGACACGGGGAAAAGGCGAGCACAGCCTATAGTTATAATCCCTCAAGAGGCACATGAGAAACTGCCAGAGCTGATGAAGACCAAGACTTCCAAACAGGTGGTGTTGGCAGCTCCTACCCTGAGCGCCTGTAGGGACCAGTGTGGTCCGAGGGCAGCTCCTCACGGGCTCACGTGCATGCTCGTTCCCTGGGACCTTGCCTCCGGCGCAGTCTCACTTGGGGTTGGGGGGCTGGGGGAGGAGTTTGGGGGCCTGAGACTCTTTGCAACCATCCCTCAAGTACTTCTGCTGGTGGTTTGGATCCAGAGGTTACAGACCGGTCGTGAAATCTGTTGGTTATTTTATTTCTTTTTTTTTTTAGTTAATCTTCACCCAAGGATATTTTTTCCATTGATTTTTAGAGAGGGGGGGGAGGGAGATAGAGAAAGAGAGAGAGAAGGAGAGAGAGAGAAACACTGATGTGAGAGACACATTGGTGGCCTCCGGCACACGCCCTGACAGGGGCCCGGGATGGAACCTGCAACCCAAGTACATGCCCTTGCCAGGGAATCGAACCTGCGACCCTTCTGTGTGGGGGCCGACGCTCACTGGCCAGGGCAGTTATCTCATTTCTTTATTCTGTGAACTGTCCAATCTTATATGTAAAGTTTTTTTAAAAAAATGACTGAGCAACTGTTCACACTGTACAGAGTATAAGAGATCCAAAGCAAATCCTTTTTCTCCAGTGACTTACAAAACGGTGATTAGTAAAGCCATGGACGATATAAGACAGTGTGTGAGAAAACACAGCCTCCCCGAAAGGGCAGGAAACCAGCTGAGGGATCGCCTCTTTTCATCTGTGCTGAATCCCCCCAAAGCCAGAGAGCGTGCTCCCTACTCGGAAGCCCTCACTGTCTTCCAATTCGAGTTGTTGGCGTGCTTTCACTTCTGTTCTTTATTCAAAAACAAAAGCAGGAAACAGTTTTATCATTTCCAACCGCGCCTTGTGGGACTCGCAGCACAAGCTTCTTCCCCTCTGACAATGAAACCAATGACAAAGGAATGAGTCTGAGAGAGGCGAGGAATTTGTTTAAGATCCAACGGGGAAGGAGGACCCAGTATCGGTGCTATAAAGTTCAACCTTTAGGGTGGGGTCATTCTGAGGAATCAGTGAAGGAACCAGTCCAGTTTGGACTTGAATGAGACATTTAAAAAATTAAGTAGGGGCCCTGGCAGGGCAGCTCAGCTGGTTGGAGCACTGTCCCGATACACCAAGGTTGCAGGCGGGTTCGATCCCCGGCCAGGGCACATATAAGAAGCAACCAATGATGCTTGAATAAGTGGAACAACAAACAGATGTCTCTCTCTCTCTCAAATCAATAAATAAATAGTTTAAAATATTAAAACCAATAAATAAAATGTTTAAAAAATTAAGTGAGCTTTGGGTTAGGGTGTGTGTGCTCAACTTTCTTTCCATTTAATAGATGAAGTAACTACGGCTTAAAGAGGAGAAGATCCCTGAGGTCAGACAGTTAGTAAGAGCTGGGTGACCCTTGAACCTCCAGCTTTCCCACCCTAATCTCAACCACGAACAGTCCCAACCTTTCTGCTTTAAAGGCTTTGCCCTCTGCCGGGGACGACCTACCTCCCTCTGGCACCATCTGTCCTATTTCTCCACCTTCATCTCAAGTTTGCTCCTATCCACACTCCCCACTCGGGTTTCACTGCACCCTCATTTCTATTCCCACGCCCCTTTTTATCAAACCCCTCATTCCCTACTTACACCACTTGCTCCTAACTACTAGTTTCTCTGACATCAGGACAATGACTTACACGTTCTATAAATTCAGCTCCCGTCATAGAGGGGGCTCACGAACAATCTGTGACACTGAATGACCTAACGTCACAAATAGACTGAAGGCTTTTCAAAGAGGAAATAAAATAGGAAAACTTCTGGAAGACCAAGGCGGGGTGAGGCGAGAATCCCACTGTGATCTCATGTGGAAACTATAAATGACGACCTCACACTGACAGTGCATGCAGCCCCTGTATCTAAAAGACGTCGACTGCCCAGCCGGCATGGCTCAGTGGTTGAGCACTGACCTATGAACCCGGAGGTCACTCAGGCTGCACAGGGCGGACTGTGCAAGTCGAGGAGCTCCCCCACTGCCCAAGTAACAGAAGTCTAAGTCTAGCTCCCTCGTTTGAAATGGAAATGAGAAGGGTGTATTCCAACACTTACGACTTCCCACTGCAGGATTTAATTTCAGATCGCTTGTATGTTTAACCAGAAGGTATCTGGAAGCAATCACAGTGGGGAGCATGCGTGAAGATGCAGGAATAGCTTGTCCCACCGTGAAATTCCAACGTGGTGAGACCTTTGTGACCATTCCCATAGCGCTAACTCAGCCGTGTGACAGACGACAACTATACTAACAACTGCTGTAAATGGTCAGCGCTGGATCGCAGAGAGCCTGAGGCTCGGCTCTGGTGCTGCAGTCCCCCCACGGTGTCGCACTGAGTGATTACTGCGCACCAGGCAGCAGGAACCCGTGCAAGGCCTCATGGTTTACACTGTAATTAGAGAGACCGATGAAAAGTGAACAAATGAGCAAGGCCAATTCTGTGTGGCAAACGCTACTAAGAAACCAGGACAAGCTGTCATGACCAGCTCCAGACCAGGAGACAGCCATCAGCGAAGGTGCCCATGTGCTGAGAATGCAATGCCCAGGGGGGTAGCCAGAGGGCCGGAGCCAAAGCGTCCCCAGGAGGGGAGGGAGAGGGAATGCCGAGGACCAGGACAGAGATGAGCTCGGCCTGTTTAAGGAACAGGAGGACCAGCCCCACGTGTCTGGGGGGAAGAAAGGGTGAGGCAGACAGTCGGACGGGATGGACCGCGCCAGGTGACGCAGGTGCGTGTCAGGAAGTGTGGCCTTCCTGCCACCTGCGAAGGAAGTCACTGAAGGATTTTAAACAGGAAGAAAATAAATCTAATTTAATTTTAAAAGATCACTAAGGCTGTGACTACCAACTGGAAGAGTGGTTGGACTGGATTAGGGAAGATGGAAGACACTGTGAAGGAAAATGCTGATATACTGATAGAGCTGACAATCAGTAAAGGAAACCTTAAAACTGCCGCACGGTACCACATTTTAATGACAAAAACGTAAGTCATTAGTAATTACACCTACCTGGCTATCGTGGGGGTTGGCACACCTCTTGTGCGTAAGGCGGATTTCCCCCGAACGCCCGGCACGTCTGCATTTTCGGAGCCGCCGTTCAAGTACGTCAGTTCCTGGAGCTGCGCTTGCCTGATTTCATCATTATAGTCCTGCACGGGGACAGGGGACAGAGGTCAGGGGACAGCACGTCGCCTCATCACAGGCACACAGCGTTCAGAACAAGAAACAGACGGTTTTTTAATAGGAAAAAAGGGTTAGGGAAATAGTTGCCGTCATAAAACAAGATGTGAATCTGTTAAAACGAAAATGTATTGATAAATTGTAAAAAGGAAAAAAAAAGAAAAAACCATCGTCTTTTTCCCCAAAAGTAAAATTTTCCACAATCAGCCATAACTCCTTTCTCCAGGCATGATTTCCAAGGGAAACAATTACAATAAAATTCAAGTACCCTGTGACAGATATGTTGGCATCGCTCTTGACAGCTCAACTCAACTGGCAGTGACTGCGCGTCCCTGAAGGCCGAGGAACGGAAAACATACACGAACAAACCCGGCCGTCCCTTCCCTCTGAACGTTTCCATTCACGTGCTGCACACGGAGCAAAGCTCAACATTTCCAAAACCGAATGCATCACCTTGTGCTTGAAAACTTGCTCTTTTGTGTCATGTATTACTGTCTGAATGGCCAACTGAGAAACTGGGGGTTACCTTTGACTTCCCCCCTTTCCTTCCCATCCCCAGCTCCATTCAACAACAGGCAAGGAAAAATGTGTGATAAACAGAGAAAGGTGTGACTTATTCACAAAGAAAGGGAGGGTCAGGCGTGAAAGATCACAGGAAGGTCACTTGCGCAGCCCAGGAGTAGCAGTGGTTTCTCTGCCAGAGGTGTTGCCTAAGGATGCGTGTGAACCGATTGCCAGGGAAAGGGGGCAAAGTGTTCCCGACAGATACCGGGACGGGTGGATTTTATGGTTACGTGCAAGCAGATCTGAGTTTGAATAAAGATTCAGAAGAGACAGTTTTCTAGATTATTTAGAATGAAAAATACGAAACACGTTCAGTAAATTTATTTTAAAAATACGCTCTCTCTTCTGTACTTTTCAAAAGCAGAATTCCAAAAAGGACTTGAAGCGTGCAGTCGAAGACACTGGAGTAAGAAAATCACAAGAACCCAGATCAAAACTGGCACGGAGACCAGCAGCAGCTCAGACCCCAGGGCCGCAGGGAGGCCAGGGACCCACGGAAGCTCCGCTGGCTCACTGGGCTCGGCAGGAGGGCGGAGGATGGGGGGGGTTACGGCAAACACAAGCTCATTTGCAGTGTTGAGACCCCAGGAGAGTCACTGGAATCTCTCAGTACTTCAACCTCTTACCACAAACCTGTAAATATGTTTCCTACCCGTTTACCAAAAATGTGTGAAGGTTAATAAGTTATCAGTAAAGCACATTCTAAATAAAACGTGCTAATAAATGCTACATGTTGCCCTGCTGAAGGCGTGAGGAGGTGTGACACAGAATTTACGGGGTTAAAGATGCTTTCCCGGGACAAGAAGCTGACTGAGGCCCTATTCAAACACACGCGGGGGCACTCGGGGGCTGTGACGGAGGACAGCGCATTCATGAGGCGTTTTAATGTCACCAAAATGTCTAGGACTTGGAGTCCCACCACTTGGACAAGGGCCTGTGCTCTTCGACTTTCTTAGTCATGTAGCCTTAGCCATGTTCTTTAATCTCTAAAAATCTGTGGTCTCACATATAAAGAAGGAAAAATGCCAAGTATTTCGCAGGGACAGTGCGAGGTGGACTCGCCAGGAGGTGAGCGGGAAGCTCTTGGGTAGACAAAGGGCCACGCAAATGCCAACTGCTGCTAAGTCCCCCGGAATTAAAGCAAAGGGAGGGCTGGAAATACTCACAGGGATGAGGAACTTCTTGATCTCCTCCAAGGCGTGGCCCATGCGGGCGTAGGCCTCCGCCGGCGGGGCGAAGACCTCGATGAGGACATGGAGGTCATCGTGGAGGTGGAAGTACTTGGCTTCTCCACTTTTCCGCAGCTCTTCTTCCTGAAGAGAGACAGCCGAGGGGAAGACCGCGTCACCAGGAGGAAAGGGAAGGGCGATAAAAACGACCCAGAGCTTCTACGTGGTGTCTCGTAAGATTCGTCCAACAGCAAAGGCCACCTAAGGAAGGAACTTTAGCATATAAATCGGATCCTGCAGCTCCAGGCTTTTATGAAAACCAGGCTTCCTGCTGTTGTGGGATTAGGTCTCAAATCCTGTCTCTGGCCTGGGAGCCCCACCACCTGCCCTGGGCCCCTAACTCTGCTCCTTCACCTCCTAGGGTCCCCCTCCAGGCACCACACACACCTCCTTCGTGGTCCTCAAACTGGCTGAGCAGCCCAGCTCACTTCTGCTCCGGTTACACTGTTCTTTATAACTGCGGAGCTGTTATATTTACCAATATCTGAAATATCTGAGGGGCCGTATCTGTTACTCGCCCATTTTCTAATTTCTCTCACTGAAGGTGATCACCATGGAGCACAAACCATGATTGTGCACCTTGGTGCTGCAACGCCTGGTCCAGAGAGGGGCTTGGTACAGAGCAGATGCCCAACAAACACGTACTAACTGAATGACTAATTATTCCTCATGTCGAAGTCCACTGGCTCCGGCACCTGTCTTTCAAAAAGCATTTCTACGCGCCAGGCACTACGCTACCTGAGGATGAAACAGCAAATGAGGGAAACGGCAGACTGGATTACACGACTGTACATAGCTGTGATAAACATTTTCTTAATTTTTTGGTTGTTGTTTACGCAATGAAATTCAGGGGGAAATTAGGAGAGAAGAGTAAGGCAGAGTGATTCTGCCCTTTTCCTTTCCGTAACTAGCTGTCACTAGGGTGGCAGTGGCAGCACCTAAGTGTCAACGGTTTGCTTCCAACATTAAAACCANAAATTCAGGGGGAAATTAGGAGAGAAGAGTAAGGCAGAGTGATTCTGCCCCTTTTTCTTTCCGTAACTAGCTGTCACTAGGGTGGCAGTGACAGCACCTAAGTGTCAACGGTTTGCTTCCAACATTAAAACCAGGCAGACAAAGTGATGTCCGAAAGGAGGCAACCTTCCTAGCCCCTCTGAAAACCCTATCCCAGGAGAAAGAACCCTAGGAATTCCTGAGGACAGCATCCCATAATTCTGCCATTAGCCGGAAGGCCAGGGAGGCACAGACGCCCTTGACCTCACCCTTGGAGGCTTCAACTTCTGTTCCGTAACTAACTTGAACTCTTACCAAGAAAAGAGGACCCACGTGAAAAGGCCTGGGATTGAGTCAGATACACCAGAACCTAGGATGCTGGTCACTAGGGGTGTGAGTTTAGACAGTTTACGTGTAATCTAAGGCTTACTTTGCAAAATCAGTTGGGAGTTAATATATGTACATTCCTGCAGGGCCACTGGGCAGAGGCTTTATGTAAATGCCCAGCAGAGGAGGCCGAGCACCGCCTCGCACCTGGCAGGCGCTCAGTAGGTGCTAGTTTCCTTCACATCTGGGGAAGTGGGTCAGAAACTGAAAGAAAACAAGAAACTTATTTAAAGTAAGAAAGAGCAAACATAAGGTACCATTAATCTCTTACCCAGTTTCTTTGAAATCTGCCTTGAGTATAAAAAGCACTATTGTTTATGCCAACTGTAGACCACTCGTTGTTCTAATCAGAACATGGTTAACCCTCTGACCTGGTTCTCTGCCCTTTATAGCTGAAGCTTTAACTGGAGGCCACGCACAGCAGCCGTTCATCCGTGAAAGCATGAGCTGCCGAAACAAACACTTCTTACCCTTTCTAAGATGGATCAAAACAGTTATCTTAATGAGATGGTGACTGTACATACACAGTACATACACTTACTTCTGTCACAGACTTAGGCTGGAACTTTCTCATCATAACCACCATGGACACACCACCCACAGAAGCCTTCTCACCATAACCACCATGCACACACCACCCACAGAGCCTTTCTCACCATAACCACCATGGACACACCATCCACAGAGCCTTACTCACCATAACCACCATGGACACACCATCCACAAAGCCTTACTCACCATAATCACCATGGACACACCACCCACAGAGGCCTTCTCACCATAACCACCATGGACATACCACCCACAGAGGCCTTCTCACCATAACCACCATGCACACACCACCCACAGAGGCCTTCTCACCATAACCACCATG